AATTAAAAATTTTATTTTGAAAAAATAATTTATTAATATTTATTTGATGTACCAATCTTTTTGTACCAGACCATATCATTCTAAGATAAATTCAAAATCATTATTGTAACTATCTGAAGAAGAAATAACATCAAAACTATATAAAGAAATTGGTAACATCACAATAATTATCTTATGTATAGTAAATCAAATGATTGCTGTCAGTGAATAAGCTCACCTGATTTCCGAGCAAACCGCTACCTCTGTGATCACGTGGCACACATTTTTTTTTCGCCACTCTGTATATAGTGTGACAAACCATCATCATGTCTACATCTAAAACGGTATGAAGGTTAATGAAGTGAACTTTTTTTTCGCGATCCTGGCCTTTTACCTTTGTTCATTCCAAAAATAGATACATGAATATTTCGGACGAAAAGTGTCAGATTGGGATATTGTTAGATTCCTCGATGAATGTACCAATATAGAATCTTATAGACAAAAAATAGAATGCTACTTATCATCTCTCGAGTTGATAGCCAGTACTGAGAATGGTCAAAGGCGTAAAAAAGCGCTGGAACTTCAAAAACTCTACAGGGAGGCATGTATTAGAGTTTTTTTTTACTCGAAAGAATAAGTGGCGTGGTAGGGACCTTCGTGCTCTCTATCATTCAAGTCTTCGTGCCGAGCCACAAAAGCAGTGTTGGGACACAGGTGACCTTCGTGCTTGCCTGATGTTTAAAAGTCCTCGAGTTAAAAGTCTTAGAGCCTACTGACACTGTTAGCCACAGGTGACCTTCGTGCTTGCCTGATGGCAAAATGAAAGTTAAATAATAATAAAAGTTATATAGAATGAAAACATGTTACTTAAGGATACTACTAATTCCCTAAATTTATCATTTTAGGGTAATCGACCCGACAAAAAAAGAGCGAAGGAATGGGAAAAGATGCATTCGTATTCGCGGATTCATATCCATCGTTCGACTATAAACGGGACAGTGCAAGGGATAACAAATGGTGTATATGGGACTATGAGTGGAGGAGTGTTCGATGTAAAGCTTGCACCAAAGAGGAGTAATCAGAAAGAGGTAACGATGCGTAGCTTTTTAACTAGAACTATTAATTTGCGTTTGTTGTTAATGAATTACAATTTTAATATTAGGATAATGACGAAGGTTCAAAGCGGACGAAAATCGATCAATATTTCCATGCTCGCGCTGTGACCCCACTCCCGCTTTCACAAGAAAAGAGTAAAATTAATGCGGATTCGCTGGATTGTAGTGATGTGGAAGACTCGCCTTCACAAGAACAAGAACTACCACCAGATGAGGTCTGAAAATTTTGTCTTTTTACACTTAATTACTGTTCATTATTCAAAATGCTTTTCTGTATCACAGACTTCAAAAGATACGATTATGGCGAGGCTCATTAACAGCAAAAGCAGTATTGCAAGATACCGGATCATATTCCTACCAGAACGCAATTTATATGATCCGATAAGGCGCCTGTATGTTAATAAAGAATGGTTGATGATGGAATCGACTTGGGAAAAGGTTACGCTTTTATTTTTTTCCTGGTTTTATTTCACTTATTGATATGCAAATATTGACAATAAATCGATTCTAGATAGAAAAGAAGATAGTAAGTTCGCTTCCCCCAATTGCGGAAAACCTGGGATCACTTTTGGAAAAATATAACGGAGCTATCATAGACGCCACAACCGGATATTACGTTGATTTGAATAAAGTTTGGATTACCATAAGTAAAACACCATTTGCAGATCAGCACATATATTTATTCGCTAGAGACTGGCCTCTTCAGTGGATACAACAAATTTACACCGCCTTGTAAGTTATGTAGAACATAATTCCATAATTATTTACTGTGCAATTAAAGACAGACTCATACTATACCTATAATTGATAGCTTGAAATGTTTCCAGACGCCTTTCAGCCCCCTTTATGACGCTGATGCGTCCGAGTATGCATACAGAAGTCGGGTCATAAATTATCTTTGGGAGGAACTTTTATTGGACGTAGACAATATAATCCGGATGAAAACGTAATTACTTCACTTTGACTGTCATTTTTTTTAAATAAGGTTTATATATTACGTACAGTGGCGATCAAAAATAATGCAACATTCAAATGAAAATTTTCAAATAAATATATCACCCTACAATTAAAAGTATCACAATCATTATTAGTATGATTAAATGATACAATCCTATAGTTTAAAATGTTACCAATTCAAATAATTTTATTTAGTTAAATTTTTTGTAACCACCAAATATATTCAATTTTTGGTGTTGCATTATATTTGTTCTTTTTGAACAAAATAAAAAAAAATCGGTAAATAACCGTCAAAATTCTAACTTTTTTACATTTTTTTTTAAAAACTATTTATTTTCAATTTAGATTACCATCTTGTATAGTCATCGTGGGCCTTTATTATATTGGCAATTCTTTTTGGCATAGATTTAATGAGACAGATACATGTCTTGACATTAATATCATTTCACACATCCTGAATTTTCTTCCACAAATTCTCTTCTCTTGAAATTGATCCTGGAAGATGGCATAAATGATGATTGATGATATTTCATAGATGTTTAATAGGATTGAGATCTGGAAATTACGGCAGCCAATTAAGAATATCAACTTTGTTATCAACAAATTATTGATAGGTTTCAATAGCAGTATGTTTGGGGTTGTTATCCTGTTAAAAAATGATATCATTTAGTACATAATTAAAATTATTAATAGTTTCTAAAAGATCTTTTGAAAGAATTTTTCTATATAACATGTCATCCATCCTGTTATCAATTTTATAAAGATTGTCAACTTCATAAGTAGTGAAGCAATCTCATATCATTATCCCTTCATCACCAAATTTAATAGTAGGTTTAATATGTGAGTTTTTTAATGGTTTCTTCTTTCTTTTCCAATAATACTTGCATTCATCTGATTCAAAAATATTAAACTTTGACTCATCTGACCAGATTATTCTTGTCCAGTCTTCTTTGATTTAATTTTTATACTTTTTTGTGAAATCAAGTCAGCATTTTTGATATTCTTTTTTCAGGTATGGCTTTTTGCATTTTATTCTTGATATTAATTCATAATCACTAAGTATATGACAAATAGTAAGTGTAGAAATATCCATATTTTCAGTTTTGTGGAAGTGATTTTGAACTTTAACAGCCATCAAGCATCTACGGAAGAGGATAAGATTAATAATTTTTCATTTCAGTTTTTCATTTATCATATGTGGGTAACCAGATCTGCCAGTATCAATAAGGGTGTGTTTCTCCTGCCATCTTTGCTTAATACAGGTGACAGTGGAAGCATTAATATTTCATCTTTGTACTATTTCCCTGACACTATAACCTTTCTTGAGAATAATGAGAATTTCTGCTCTTTGTTCTGGTATAGTATGGCATTTAGTTTTTTTAACGAAAAAATATCTATTTAATTGTGTTTGTGTTAGTCTTAAATATATAATACTGATTAATATAAAAAAATGTCAAAAATAATACAACACATATTTTATGAAACTTATCTATATATTTTGTGATTGATAGCTAAAAAAATTAAAAAAAATAAAGTCATATTTAATTAACTATTAAATTATCATAATTAATAATTTAATTTAAATTTTATTAGTTATTTTTTGAAAATAACTAAATTTAAAAATTTTTACTCATGTGTTGCATTATTTATGATTGTCACTGTATATTTTGAATTTAACCAGAGATGAAATTAAAAATGTTAATAGGAAAAACCAATTAGATCTTGCAAGGGATATAGATAAATATAAATCATGTATAGGTAGCTGGTATCATGATGCTATTTTACAATAATTTTCTAATTAATTATTATTAATTTTCTTTCTTTTCTTGCTTTAGCTTTGAATAACTTAATATTTTGCTAATTTTAATTCTTTATTACTATATATTTCATATTTTTTATAATTATTCTTTTCAAATTCTATTTGTTCTTGAGTAAATTAAGTGAAATATTATGTTAAAAATAATTTGTAATTAGCATAGCAAGAAAAATATTATATATAAAGAATCAAGAAATAATCAAGAATAATTAAGTTTGGTAAAAAGAATTAGTTATTAAATTAAGAATAGTTAATTAGTATTTTTCTTTAATAAATATATATATTTTATCTTATATCTTATCTTATTTTCTTCTTGC